TTAGAGCATTTTATAACATTAAAGATAAATTTCTATATTTTTTTAAGTCATAATGACTGAATTATATTTTACTGTGTTTTAGGGGATCAACTTTTGAATGATAGTCACAAAAAACTTTACATTGCAATGAGTCTTCATCAGATGCATCTTGTTCTGTAGAATTTAAAGAAGCTCCACAGTCAAGTTCGCCATCACATATCCATTCTTGTGGTATACATTTTTTTGATAATGCACATTGGAACTGAGAATACTTGCATGTTGGAAGGCCTAAAAGATATAATAATTAAAATAATATAACTGTATAAATCTATATATAATTATATAATTATATATAATTCTATATAAGTTAGATAATAATTTTTGATTATTTTACCACATGAATCAAATTCATCAGATCCATSAGCACAATCAGGGCTAAAGTCACATTTCCATTTTAAAGGTATACATTCRCCAGAACCACATAAAAATTGATTTGGTTTACAAGACCTGATAAGTTTTCCTAAAAACATAGATAAAATTTAATTTTAAATCAGCTATAATAATATGATTAGCAAAATAGGCAAAAAAACCATAAATAGAAGAAAAGTTATACAGATGGGTTGTAGACAGGATATAGGGATGTTATGTTGTAAAAATTGTAATTAATAAAGTGAACTGTTTATTTTTAAAGTATTTGCTTAATACCCAAATTTAAAATGTAAAACCACTCCACTAAAAATTAGGTTCAGGTTCCAGGTATACAATACCACACACAAGTATAATTTTAGTTTATGTGCTTAGTCTAAAAAAATCATGATGAAATAAATAGGTATGATCACAAAAAAACAATTTTCATCTGCACATACGCCCTCCATTCAATATTTTATTGGACGGCAATGCTAAAAAAATATAATAGAAATGAAGAAATATGCGATAAGGCAAGGATGGTATACATATCACAGTGTTGTGATCATATTTATTTATTCATGGTCTAAACGCTATTTTTCATTAACTAATTACATTATCAGTCAATTTATACCTACCAATAACACAGAACCTATTCTGTGCCAATACTTTAAATATATATATCCCCAGATAAGCCTGCCTATAAAAAGATTCCAAAATGTAATGTATTTATTAATATCATAATTTTATATTGTTTGAGATAGTCTTGGAAAATCTACGTTTATATAATCAAGTATTCAAGTTAAATATATTCCAGTGATCAGTTACAGAATTATTATTTACTCATCAATTAAAATAAATGATAAGACTGTAGTAGGTATCTATATACAGGGTGCCTCATATTTTAATTTATTCTAATGTTTTGATTAAAATATATTTTTTTATTTAATGATTTCCAAAAAAATTAACTGTACCCATTTTTTAGTTTATATTTCTGAAAATATTGACGTTTCAAAATCATATTTTCATTAATATCCTGATCTTTAATTTTTTTAGATTCGAGAAAAATTGCGAATTATTTAACACYGTAATGTTATCAAACATGTCACCCGCCATGCCATGCGCGTGCTTGCACAGCCAGGCAAACATTTTCAGTGTGYCTAGTTATAATCATATTTTATTTCATCAAAACTAGAAAAAATATTAAAAATCAAGAAATTAATTAAAATAACATTTTGTAACATCAATATTTTCAAAAAAAAATTAACTCTACAAAATGGCTATCTTTAGTTTCTTTGGAAATAATTAAATAAAAAGTATTTTTTTTACCAAAACGTTAAAATAAATTAAAATTAAATAATTGTAGTTCTTATTCCTGTGAATCTTATTACAAAAACTAGAATGTTGATATCTACATTATTTTGTGAAATATCCCAATGAATAAATCCTCGCAAAAACCTCTGTATATAGTATTTCTGAAAATATTTTAATGCATTAAGTTTTTTTATAGTACTTTTTCAAGTAAACTATAATAAGCAATAAGCATCAACTATTCAATACAATTCAACAAATTCTTAATTGCATGTTAATATGAAATAGTTAGTAGGTATGTCCACAAAATTTAAAAAAAAATTAAAACAAATTTTAGTATGAAATACAAGTACATATGTAATTTACAAGTAAAGTAAACTATTGAAAATTAACATTAGAATAMATTTCTAACTTTGCTAGTTACCAGTATATACAATAAGTAAGTGCATAAGCTACATCACATTTCATCATATTTTACAAAAGATATTGTATCTATTTACACTTGAAGGACTGGATATTAAAACATATTTAAATGTATATAAATATAATTCTCCCAACTGTCAAGTATATCCTTATCAAGTAAACTTAATTKGATACTTCCTGACATAAAGTCAATTTAATTCAACATTAGTGGTTCATTGATATACACAATTACAGTTTTAGTACTTTTTATAACTTATAGATRCCATTATTTCAATAATATCATCTAAGCATCTATAAAATAATATCTATTATTTCAATATTTATATTTTTTTTTTCTTATAAAAATATATTATTCTTATACTGTAGTAGGATAAAAAACAAAAACCTATTATATAATTGAACTAAAAAATAATAATTAATAACTTTCATTGTCCCAAAAAAACAAAAATATACAAAATTTTTCAACATACAAATCAAAATTAATATTATCAATAAATAAAGATAACCTTTTGATTGTAAGCAAAACATAAAACATTCATTAAACAACAATATTTTTCTAATGTTTTTATAGAATACTTGGCTATTAACTTAAAAAAATTTTACCATTATAAATTCATTAACATAAATAAAAAATAATCTGATAGTTGCAATGCTTAAATTGAATGAATAGTCTTTAAAAATCAGCCAACAGAAAAAATATTAAGATAATCTATACAGATAAATATCTAGGTSCATTCTATCACTTCATATCTACATTATTTTTATTGCTTTAGATTTTTAAAAACTAACCTAAATTGACATCAATTAATTTTTAATGAATTTAAGAAAATAAAATCAATGTGCATATTGCATATATATTGATACTATCTACACAATTACACTTAATTGTTAAGTATTTATTAATATGGAATTTAAAAAAAATCAAAAAAACTAAATGCTCATTTATGTGTCCTGTAAAATCTAAAATACTACCAACAAAGAACGCAACTCAATAAACCAATTTGAAAAATCCAAAGGTCAATTAAAACAATATTATTTGCACTTAAACTTATCAGAATTTTTTTAATTAAGAACTTAAAAATTTTTACAATGATGTGCCACTGACCAAAATATCAGTTTAACATTACCGTCGTAAGTAAAAACACCATAAGTCACCTTAGGATGATTTTTAAAAAAACGTGTTTTTGTATAGATTAGATCGTATGATTTACAGTATTTTAGTCATTTGATAATTGCTTACATAATACTTTAAGAGTAATATTTAAGACATWTGGCATKTTCATCAACACAAGTCAAGWTTTACAATTATTTATCTATTTTAATCTCAWTTTTATGTTTTTKGGGAACTGCAACATTTTTGCTTATGACGGCAGTACATCTATATAGTATACAAGAAAATATTTTTGAATTTAAAGTTTTAACTTTTAAAGTATTTTTGTTAATCACTTAATTTAGAATAAGTCTAAAAAAAGTTGTTAGTTTTTATTAGTTAGGTATTTCATATTATTATCAATTACAAGTATTTATATGTACTTTCTAAAGTAACTGCATATTTTGTTTATAAAACCATAATATTCTGAAGTAGAATATTTTTTTGAGAATTTCATACTTCTAATATTTAAAGCATAGTTGAATGAAGTAATGGACCAACAGTTTATGAGTACCCCTATTCCATTCCACTCATAAAAACTTTGAATACAAATAAGATATAACTACTTGATGAATATTCACTGCAATTTTAAGAAAATATTTTGATTTGGTGTATGAAATTAAGAAAGACGCTTCTTCAAATATATAATTTTGCAGGCAACAATTTCAAATTTCCTTAACAAAAAATCATCAAAAATCTTGAATGTTTTACCTCTAAAATAATCAGTATATTTCGTAAGTATTAAGAATTAATTAACAATTTTGAAGACAGTTATTACATAAAGCTAATACCAGACTTGAAAAATCATGATTTATCATCAGTTTGATGTCAACTAGAGTATATACATTATTACAATCACAAAAGATTTTCAAAACATTCTTAGGTGTACCTATGAAGGATATAATAAAATAACAGAAAGCACTGCACGTTCAAAATATTATAAATTAATATTAAATTATGGTTTTTATAAGAATTTTTTTTGTTGATATATTTTTTATATCAATTTAAATAACTTACAAACACTTACCTAATTCTTACACAGATATTCAACTAAAGATAATATAATTTCAATAATAAGTTATACTATTGAAATAGGTACATTTTTTTTTTTTTTGTAATCACCTATAGGTATTTATCAAAATGTATACAATTTTTGGTGCACAATATGGCAATGCTTTACATTTTCTATAGTCTTCCTATTAACTTGAAAAAAATATATACTCAATTATTCAAAAATGCTGAACGTAATAAATAACAAATAATTGTTTTTTTCATATCACTTTAAATCATACTTAAATTAAAATAAATTATGATATATGTATTTCACATACATCATTTTGTAACTTGCCAATTGAAATATAGAAACTGTTAGATACTTGGATATTTCTAAATTTGTATAACATAAGCACAGATAATATTGGTAGTATGATACTTTGGGATACCTTAGACAAGACCATCGTAATAATAAATTATGACACAATGAGGGGATGAGGAGTGCACTTTTAATAAAGATCATATAACTATTAATGGTTATTCGGGTAAGTAAACAATCTTACCATCGATGGAATCGTCAGATGTACTTGTTGCCAATGGTTTGTTGATGAAAATCAAAATCCCCAACAAACAAAACCGCTGTATCATTTTGAAATCGATAGTGCAACAATAATGGTATTACAGCTACTACGATTCTAACATGTTATTTGTTTTTAATTTGAACTTTGAGTTTATAGCCAATACGAAAACTTCAGATCAGGAAAGCGCACACCGCCTTGCGATGTCGAAAATTGGCAGGCGACAGCCAACAGAATAAATAATGGCAAATATTAATTATAGATAGATGGGCCGAGTATGTCCCTACATTCATGAGCGGAAAAAAAACTACGGACGAACAAACCGGGACCTGTCCTTTTGTTTATTGCGCCATTTTGAATGTTTACTGGCGAACACCGACTGACGTTAGCTGTGATTTGAGAACACTGAACCACAAATTGTGATTGTGAATTGTGATTTACCAATATTGAATATACCTATATATATAATATTTTAATCGGTTTGAGTTTTCCACCGTTCTATTTCACCACCAGACGGGGTTAGCGTTAAGAACCGTAATATGCAAGTCGTTCCTAACTACAGTCATGTACCTACGAAAAATTAATTTAAAAACCTGTAACTTGGTTTTAGATAGTATTATCACTATTATCTAAAATAAATGAAGTTCAAGGCTCATGGTTCCATGCTTTGACAACCTGTCAAGAAAAGACTGTCCGAGGAAGGAATGCTTTTATATTTTTATTTTGTACAAATTGCWACACTGTATTTTTCATTGGGTTAGATTGTTTTGGTGTTCAAGCGCATGCGCTTAAGTCACATGTTTGAAATTAGTGTACTGAACTACTGACTACTGAACTTCAATGTGATCCGGCTCCTGCTTCCACCTAATTTGTTTTTTAGTAGTAACTTCATTATATTATACAATGGGTAAGTATTTTATTTTTTACTCTCACGTCATATTTTTCGAAATATAAATGACAAATATGACACTTATAATTGTTTCTTTTAKAGAAATATAGACGTAAACACGTTTTTTTTTTAATTTGAATATTACTTACCTATACTTATTTTATATTCTTTATTTTTAGGTTTTGACCGAGGTGGCCGTGGTGGTGGACGAGGAAGAGGTGGTGGTGGAGCTCCTCGATTCTCAGGTGGTGGAGGACGTGGTGGTTTTGGTGGCGGTGGTCGTGGTGGCGGAGGTGGTCGAGGAGGTGGTGGTGGTTTCGGAGGTGGCGGTGGCTTCCGTGGACGAGGTCGTGGTGGAGGTGGCCGAGGTGGTGGCGGAAGGCCATCCGGGGGACCCGGAGGCTTCAAAGGCGGTAAAAAAGTTATAATTGAGCCTCATCGTCATGCTGGAGTCTTCATTGCCCGTGGTAAAGAAGATGCACTTGTTACCAAAAACATGATTCCTGGAGAAACCATTTATGGTGAAAAGAGAATAAGTGTTGATCAGGTACATTACATAACAAAAACCCACAAATTTTTAGATTTTTAATATGTAACATATTTTTTTTTTAATTTTAGACTGAAGGAGATAAAATTGAATACCGTGTGTGGAATCCTTTCAGATCAAAATTAGCTGCTGCTATATTAGGTGGTATTGATGAAATCCATATGCCACCTGGATCAAAAGTATTATATTTAGGTGCTGCTAGTGGAACAACTGTATCACATGTTTCTGATGTTGTAGGACCTGTAAGTTTTTATAATAACTAAATATGATTCAAATTTCTAAACTAAATAATAATTTATAGGAAGGCCTTGTGTATGCAGTAGAATTCTCACACAGGTCTGGTCGTGATTTGATTAATGTTGCAAAGAAAAGAACTAATATCATTCCCATTATTGAAGATGCAAGGCATCCTCATAAATACAGAATGTTAATTGGAATGGTAGATACAATTTTTGCTGATGTAGCTCAACCTGATCAAGCTAGAATTGTTTCAATTAATGCACAATATTTTTTAAAGAACGAAGGTCACTTTGTTATATCTATTAAAGTAAGTTAAATAATATTAATTTGTGGAATATTCAAAAAGTGCATTTTAATAATTTTTCTAATTTTTTTTCTAGGCAAATTGTATTGACAGTACAGCTGAACCAGCTGCAGTATTTGCACAAGAAATTGAGAAACTAAAGGCTGATAAGCTTAAACCAACTGAACAGCTTACACTGGAGCCCTATGAAAGAGATCACGCTGTTGTAGTTGGTGTATTTAGACCAGTTCCAAAGGGAAAGTAAACTTCGACTAAATGATTTTTTAACACATAACAAGTTTTTGTACAAATACTCGATGAAACCAATGTTTTTACTTAAAAAATATAAGTATTTAAGCATTTTATTTCTAATAAAAATTGGATTTTTATTTTATAATATACATCTAATTTGTATTAGTTGAACTTCTATAGTGTTTTTATCCTTCTATTCTCTACTATGTAACATTAAGTAATCGACTAAYGTCCAACATTATTACTTATAAGTTCTTGTACTTGTTATCACCCCACTATCTAGTATCTTTTAATTTATAAATTAATTACATTTATAGCCTTATAGGATGTATACATCACTTAAAATTTCTTTATTCCAAATAAGTCTAACGAAACTGCGTTAATCGGAGCAAACTGCAACTCGTTTCCACCATGGGGTTTTGCCAGAATTAATTGCAAAATAGTATTCACATCATACAATATAGCAACATGTAAACAACATAATAAAATACAATTTAAAATTTTACAAGATGTACATTTTGCTTTTCTCCATAAATATATCATTAAAAAGACTGCTGACATAATCAGAATCCTAGGCTTGCGATAACAAACAAGTATCATGTTGTTGGTTTTCTTAGTTCTTTATAACAGGCTGATGCCTTAAAAAATTTTTCTCATGCCACTCCTATTAACCCATTTAAAATTTTTTAAAAAACAGATGTGTCAAATTAGGCATTTAATGCTCAATGTTGATGTGTGAACATAAATTTGATAACTTGCGCCTGTAACTAAAATGTTGGTTGATTTATGGGTTAGGTAAATAACAAGTATTATAAATTATGAAGTGTACATAATAATAAAATTCAAGTGTGATATATTATATTATTTTTTATATTACCCACACCATGTGACCATGGCTATGTATACGATTACACACGCAATTTCTGTTATACTATTTCATGACATCAAATTTTTTTTTGGGGGGGGAGGCTTGAAGATGTTAACACATCAAAAAATGATTATTGACATAATGTAAATAATGCTATAAATCACCATGTTCACAATTTTAAATTTTTGAATACAAATAATTAAATTAATTTAAGAATACCAATTTGGATGTAAATAAATACATCTGTTTTAGATTATTTTTATTGACAATTTTAGATATTGTACTTAGTCTCGACTATTATTTATATAATCATTATGATTGGTATTCTTGTTGCTATTGGTCTAATTATTGTTTTTATATTTAATTTAAATATAAATAAAAGCATAAATTTAGGAATAATACGCTAACGTGTTGATTTCAACCTATAATTTAAGAACAAAAACTCATTTTTTACATTACTGCAAATAAAATAATTTTAATATTCAATTAGCAAAATATGACATTCACCATGATTCTGCTTAATATAATATGGGTATGAATTAGAATAAGTCTTTTTTCTTTTAAAATATATAATAGTATTTTTCTCTAACTAAATAATTATTTTGATTGGACAAAAAGATGAAAAATCAAAACAAATGAATAAGTCCTCACTCAAACATTCGCCTTTAAACAAAGAACGCGCCCTCACGTCACAATGAACAACATTCCAATCTCTATTTGTTCTGAAATTAAATACCTTTGTCTCCCCCTCCCGGGCTCCTCCCTTAGTAAAAGTTAATTTCGAATCCTCGTCCTGCTTTCACCAGCTCAGATCCTCCCACTTAATTCTAAAATGAAAATGAATACCAAATTACTAATTTACAAGTCCTTATTCAGGCCACCATGGACTTACGACATTCAATTATGGGGAGCCACTAAACCTTTCAACACCCGACCTATTAAACCCATTCAATCAATATTCATTCACTAAGTTTCCTCTGCTTCCTAGTACATTACCAACCTCAACATTTTAACTAAATCTTCTATTTATACAACACAAGATTTCACAAACATCAACCACACACAAATCCACTAATCACTAAATTTTCAAATAACCCTCACCGTGGACTGAAAAAGAAATGGTCTAGGGATCTCCTTTAGTACGCATTTAAACAAAATAAGAGCTGTTATTATGTTCACTATTGTTGAATATTTTACCACTGGGTGACCTCCTTAATCTTAATAATCATGTTAGTTATTATCTATGTCATTCATCAAACCTACTCGTACAAAACTAGATTTTAAGTTTATGTTAATCAAATAAAAATAACATAATTAACAATTTTCATTAAGACAAAATGTAAACGTTAACTCAGTTGTGTGGTAAATGCCAAGTGTGAGGTAGACCACATATGGAAAAAATACCATGTATGTATATAATGTAGAAGTACAAGGTTAATATATACATAGTTTCTAAAATTATTGATTAGATACCTAGTTTGTCCATATATTAAGTGATGTGTGTTTAATAATTAATATGCATCAATAATCTAATTTCTAGTCTAACAAATATATTGTTGTTACAATAACAATAAATTAATGAAATTGAAAGCATACAAAGATAGAATAGACTGATAAAACAAGTCAAGATTCTCTTGACACTAGACCCTGCATGGTTTTTGTGAATTTTAAATTGTTATATTACTTATATTTTTATAACTCAGTCATAATATTCAAAAAAATGCATAATAAAACAGATAATGTTTTTACTCAAAAATTAAAGTGCAGAACACGATTAGGCTAAGATGGACATTTGTAAAATTCGCTTACTATTAGCACTTGAGCTCTTTGTTCTTGTTGAGCATTTCAAAAGGATCTACCCGACACCGTAAAAAATTACTCTATAGTGGACTGTCGACCATTTTTTTGTTTAAGTAGGTATATTGTATAATGAAAACTATTGTTTTTTGATCTTAAGATAGTATCAAACAATTCCTAATAATTATGCAATAATAAAAGATAGTCTATTTGCATGCTGTAAATTGTAATACAACTATACAAGCAKKTTTCTTTTCATCAGAACATTCAGAACCATCTGTAAAACATATGTTTTCATCTTGCGGGTCTTATACATAACCCGACAAGAAACAAATTATCTGAAATTTCTTTTAAAAAATGTATTATTTCAAAAGGAAAAAAACCTAAATAGAAGTTATTGTGATCCAAAAAATATAATATTATAACAAATTTATAAAAATCTATTTATATTTACATAGTGCATACTACATACTGCAAATAATTATTATATATAGGTATTAATATTTTAATATATTGCTAATTAGCTAATAGGTAGATAAATGATTTTATTTTTGTAAGGAGAACCCGCGGCAACAGGCCATTGGGTGTGGGGTGGTACGGTAGGGGTTATTTTTGTATGTTTGTTTGTAGGTTTTTAAATGGGTAGGGTTGTACACATGTTTATGTATGCGTGGCAAGGATATGTTGCTGAAAATCCCGGGTGGTCACCCATCCGGGAGCTAGCAACTGCGGCCGGTACGTACGCTCAGTGTGTTTCCGCAGATTGAGCGTACGACCGCGCCTCACCAAGCCACAAATGATTTTTTATATCTGTCTTATATTATATCTTGACTATATGTTTACTTAATTTGACCAAGGAAATGTTTTTTTTAGGTATAGCATTTTAAAATATCAAATCAATTAATATTTATTGATTATTTTTAGTTAGAATAATTAGAAATAATAATCATTGTAAAACACTCTATAAATCATTGCAATTAAACAAATAAAATATATTTTAATAACTTTTGATTTTTGTTGCATATTCAGCATTTATATTATATGATATTACACCTATACTGTTTATACTAACAATAATCATAAGTATCATATTACGATCAGTGGGGACTGTCAATCGGTTATTA